GCCTTGTTGTACTACAATCTAACAGGGGCTACATCCCTCCAGGGCCACAGCTCACTCTAGGTAACCCCAGTTCCAAGACTCATTTTCTCAAAAAGGGCTATTACCATAAACAGTTGCAGGGATGATGTGGGAGTCAGTTACCGGCAATGGCAGTGGCTCATTTATCATAAGGGACTTCGGAATGCAGTAATTTAGCAACATTCTAAAATATGGTTTGCTTTGAGCAATCAGAAAAATTCTAGGTCTGGTGGGCAGAAATTCGATTTAAGTTTCTGTAATAGGAATTCATGGCCTCTTACCATGTTCCCAGACTGAAATCAGGTAATAGACCCAGAATGCCTTATTTGAAATGGAGGTCAGATCTTTTTGAGGAAGGACCCTGAGATAGAGTACATACCATAAATTTTCTTCCAAGCCTTCCCCAGAAGGACCGCTGAACTACAGATACATTTGAAAATGCCTGTGAAAAGGGATATACCCAGACCTCTGTGGAGTTACTAAATGCTGGCCCTGGATTTATGCTAATTTCTAGGGAGTTAAAACACCACTGTGGTCCAGTGGTATGTCAGTTTCTTATTGGTATTGTAACAAATTACCACAAATTGAATAGCTTAAAACAACACAAGTTTATTATCTTACTGTTCTGGGGGTCAAAAGTCTGAAATAAGTCCTACTGGGTTAAAATCAAGGCATCAGCAGGGCTCTGTTCCTTCTGGAGATTCTAGGGGAGAATCTGATTCCTTCATTTTTCCAGTTTGTAGAAGCAACCTGCATTCCTAGGCTCATTTACTCTCTCACCCGTGAAGAGAGATTAAGGTAGGAGAGGCCAAGTAGAAGCCCTTGGTACTGTCCCCTGACACCAACATGGAAAACTAAAAGTAATACTGCATCCTTGGGTAAGTGTGGAGATTAGTGCCACTATCTAAAAACCTGAGAGATGCAGAGGTGCTGGTTCCTTATCCCATACTCAATTAACTTGCCTGCTCAGCTTGTATAAAAGTAAGATGGACAGATCACAGAAAATGACTATGGATCAATCTCAGCTGCCATTTCAGATGTGGTAACTTTACTGGATTAAACAACATGGTCCTAGCATCTGGGAATTTTAACCTGTAAGAACTTTTTTCCTTGAGTCAAATTAATAAGGAGTATTTAAAATAATTTGCTTTCACCTGGAAGGGACAGCAATACATTTTCACCATCTTATTTCAGGGCTACAGAAATTCTTATTCTCTGATATATATATATAAAAAAAAAAAAAAAACATAAAAATCAGAATAATCTCCCTGATCATCTTGATATCCCACAGGACATCACATTGGTTCATCACACTGGTGACATTAAGCTAAATGGATGGTGAACAGGAAGTAGCAAGTTTCTTACACACCTTAGTAAGATAAATGTGGGCACAGGGTAGAGAATAAAATCCATGAAACTTGCACAAAGTTTCAAGGGATTCAGTTGTCCAGAATATGTCAGGATATCCCATCTAATGTGAAAGATAAGTCACTACACCTTGTACATTGACCACAAAGAGGCACAGAGTTTGCCAGAACATTTTGGATTTCGGAGACACCACATACCATAATTGGGTGTTCATCAACCATTTACTCAGTAACCTATAAGGATGTCTGTTTTGAATGGAGCCTGGAGTGAGAGAGGGCTCTGCAAGTCTAGGCTACAGTGCAAGTTGCCTTGCTACTTGGATCTTACGACCTAGCAGACACACTAGTTATTAGAAGTATCTGTGGCAGCCAGACATACGATATGGAGCCTCCGGCAAGCCCTAACAGGAGATTCACAAAGGAGATGCCTAGGGTTTTAGGGCAAAGCCATGCATCCTTTGCCAATTTATTAGTTATCTATTGTTGTGTAATGACTTACTCCCAAAGTTTGGTGGCTATCTTGAAAGCTGGCTCCAATAGCCAATGACTATTCACTATTTGAAAAGCAGCAACTTTCTTGCTACTGGGCTCTGGTGGAGACTGAATGATCATGGAATACCAAGTGCATTCCTTTGCTAGGGCTGCTGTAAAAAAGTACCACAAACTGAGTGGCTTGAACAACATAAATTTATTGTCTCACAGTTCTGGAGATTATCAAGAGATTATCAAGGCTAGTTTCTTCTGAGGGCTGTGAGAGAGAGATCTGTCCCAGGCCTCTCCCCTTGGTTTACAGATGGCCATCTTCTCCCCACATCTCTTCACATCATTTACCCTTCATGTGTGTCTCTCTCTGTGTCCAAATTTCTCCCTTTCATAAGGAAACAAGTTATACTGGATTGGGGCCAACCCTAATGAGTTCATTTTAACTTGATTACCTCTGTAAAGACCCTATCTCCAAATGAGGTGACATTCCGAAGTCCTGAGGGTTAGGATTCCAATGTCTTTTGGGTGAGACATAATTCAATCCATAAGACCAAGTAACCACACCACCTAGCTACCCATGATGAACTGGGTGTCAACCCGATCCACCAACTGATAAAGTTAGCACATGCAGGAGCTTTCTGTTAATAAGCAAAAATGATATCTAGACAATATAGGAGGTGAGCCCAGCAGGTCCACAAGGCACAAGAAAATGACAAGTGCAGAGAACCTGGACCCAATGGCACCTTCTCCCACTGCTTCAATGTCTCTCCCTCAACACACACCTATAACTTCATGGAGAATTCCCTATAACCAGCCTTATGCAAAGTGAGCTGGCACTAGTAATAAGTATATGGCTGCTGCATGAAAACCCCTCTCAGAGATGACGTGAAACACAGTAGAAAGGGGAATCTTACTAAGGGACAGAGCTTTGAGCAGTACATCTGCTTGTTTATTTTGCATGGAAAGAGAGATGGCCTGATACAAGATCTCCACTGACTCATAAGTGGTGGCTAATATGTTGGCCAGCTGGTTTCTCAAGAACTTGGAAAAAACAAGATAGAAATACTCATGACTAAGAGGTGAAGGTGGGTGACACATGTGAAAGAGTCTCTTGAAATGGGCACAGAGCATGTAGATACGTGTCCTGTGGATGTCAGCCCACCTCCCCTCAGCTTTCCCGGGCCTTGCTGAATGTGCATTGCCATGGTGCAAGTATGGAGCTTAGCACAGGGTCAACTGTGTGAACTTCCTTCACCAAGGCTGATGTGGCGGCCACCATAGCTGAGTGCCCAAACTTCCCAGAGCAAAGGACACCACTGAAGCCCCAGTATGGCACCATTCCCTGTAGTCTTTATTTAGCCTCTCTTTACACTGCCCACTCACAGGCTCCAGTAACTGGATTTGAAAGAGACTTGTAAAGGCAGAGTTGAAAGGAGTTGGTGGCCAAGGGAAGGAGAAAATCTGTGATGATTGAAGTTTTTAGTTTTTGTGAATGGTGAATCAGGACACTTCTCATAAAGACAGAGATTGTCAGAGAAGGGTAGGGTGAGGCTGATGGAGAAGATAAAGAGTTCAGTTTGAACCTTCAGAGTTGGGAGTGAGTGAATATATTTATGTATCATAAGCAACTAGTAGACAAAGGGGAGAAGATGATTGAGTTCAGAAGCAAAGTTTGGATGAAAAATAAGGCACAGAAACTGGAACTTATTTGTAATATCCCATAGGACTTTGCATTTTTTAATCTTTTACCTGTAACTACTGACAATGAGGGTTTGCTTTTTGGCTGCAGTGAACAAGTTGAAGAGGCCCAATAAGGGCTAGGAGTTCTTATCCTTTAGAGGAAGTAGTCATAGAGGGCCCTAAACGCAAAGGCTTACCTGTGTATTTTATACTCAGCGTGCCAAGGGCACAGACCTCACCTGTCCTGTGTCACTTTGTCTCCAGCACCTAGAAGAGAGACTGACAAATTGTAACTACTCAAATATTTGAGGGTGAGTGGAATAAATTAGAGGATGGGGGGTGAATAAATGAATGAATGAACAGTCCCGCAGGGCATAAAGGAGAGCCGGGGCAGGGAGAAGCCACCTGGGACCTTTTTCTCTTCCCTAAAACCTCTTTAGAAGACTGAAAGATGAGAGGCCACGCATAGTAATGGTTAAGAACATGAATTCTTAATTCAGGTTACTGAACTTCCAAGCTGAGTGACTAGGCCAAGTTATTCAACCTCTCTGAGCACAAACTTCCTCCCTGTAAAACAAACATAGTAAATGTTTAGAGCAGCTTCTGGGTAAAAGTAAGTTTCACATAAGCCTAAGTGTTGTTATTTTGGGCATCTTGATAAGGTAAGCCTGCAAGATAAGCCAGAAATTCCCAGGGGAGGGTGAATCCAGCTACTCAGCCTGTAAGTGCTTTCAAAAGTGAACAATCACCTTTTCTCTCCATTTGCCTCTAGATACCCCACCTCCCTCCAACATACCTTTCTCTGTCAAGAGACAGAGACCTGGGTTGTAGTTCCAGGTGGAAGCAGTGAGCTGTGTGAGTTTGCCAAGCCCCACGCCCTCTCTGGGCCTTGTTTCTCTCTCCTGTCCATGCGAGGTTGCAGGAGGTCAGAGCCAATGTCCCTTTCAGCTAAAATGGACCACTGTCCGTGCGTCCAATTTTGGGTGCCCGCTCGCCCCCACCCCATAGTCCCCAGGGCGATCCCTCCCCATA